TTGGAGCGGAACCAACCACTGCGGCACCGCCGAGAGAGAAGAAAGATCCCACTGAACCTGAAGTGAGAGTGTCAGGTCGTGATGTCATTATTGATGTAGCAGTCTTAGTCATTAGTGATGTAGCAGACGATGTCATTAGTCTTGACATCAGGTTGTGATGTCAATAATAATAATAACAGCGGTTTCAGCGTTTATTAGGCCGTAGCCGGCCCGTAGGCCTGTCGCCGATTCTTAACATCGCAGAACATACACAGCTTGTTGCGGTCTCGAAACTCGCAACTCACTGCTTCAAATTCTGCTGTGTTTAACCGCCCGGCCTCCTTGCCGATCCTGACCAGAAACTGGTGCACAGAGCTGGGATCGAACCCGCGCCTCTCTAGTGCGTCAATCTTGATACTCTGAACTTTAACCACTGGGCCACCCTGTGGTTATTCAAGACTCGTCAAGACTCAAGACCTTCCAGTCTTCATGCGGAAATCCCTTCATTGGTAGGAAAATTGAGTGCAGTGTAGAATAAGATGCCCAATTGTGCCCTTCACCTTGCATACTGGCCAAACTATGCCATAAGCTAGGCCAACAGACTCTGTGTTAGACTGTTTGTGGTGCCCAAGAAAACTACGGGGAGAAACGTTTCATAGGAGAAAAGAATTGGAAGAATAACGAGCACTGCTTGTCCGCTGGGTAGACTGGACAGAATCACGGATCGGCTTCAAAGAGTAAAAAAAAAAAACTTACAGTAGCTTGACGGACGGGAATAAAAATTATTATGCCCCGTTCAGCGTCCACGACCCACGCATCCAATCACATCGATAATCTTGCATGTCTTTGACTCTATGTCATGCCAAGTTTTACACAGAAGACTGTGTCAAACTTGATTACTGAATGGAAGAAAACTCTATCGTGGTAATTCTTTACGGGAATTACAATGCGAATGATTAGATCATAGTTACTTACGTATGAACATGAAAATATAAAGTTAATATTACTGTCGTATGTTGTAGCGCTCTCAACAACAATGCAGCAATGTCAGCACTCTCAACAAAGATGCTGGCAAAGAAAGAAAAGTTTGACGGGCTGACCGATAAGTCGGCTGCTAGTCGGGCCGTCCATACGTTCAATTTTTCAGCACTAGGGTAAATACTGTTATGGTAAAAAGTGCTATGGTCAATAGTGCTGTGGTATATCCTGCTGTGGTAAATACTGCTAAGGTAAATACTGCTGTGATAAATACTACTGTGGTAAATACTTTTATGGTATATAGGCCTACTGCTATGGTAAATAGTGCTATGGTAAATACTGCTGCGATGAATACTGCTGTGGTAAATGCTGCTGTAGTAGATACTGTTGTAATAAATACTGCAGTGGTAAATACTACTGTAGTAAATACTGCTATGGCAAATTGTGCTATGGTAAATATTGCTGTAGTAAATACTGCTGTGGTAAATACTGCTGCAATAAATACTGTTATGGTAAATAGTGCTATGGTAAATACCGCTGTGAATACTGCTGCGGTATACACTGTATACAGTACTGCTATGGTAATTGATAAATCAAGTAAATATACTTGGCATTTTTGTTATTTAAGTCTATTAATGATATCAATGTCTGTATTTAGAGTTAATTAACACCATAGAATAACTAGGCGGATAAAGATTTATCTGATTTTTTTTTCAGGAATTAGGATACGCACTACTGGTACTGGCCTGTACTCGCGCCGCTGCTGTAGCCAGTCGAGATGAGGGCACGAACGCGATAATTAGTAGTGGTTAGTACCTTCGAGTTTCTGAGACCACAGTTTATCTATCGGTGTCGTTAGTAAACGTTGCTTGATCGGATTCGAAGGCGGTGTATCTGCATGCCCATGGGTGGTTCCAAGAAACAAACTCCTGGAACGCGATAACTCCTGGGATCATAAGGTCGTAAGGGCAGCTGAAAAGATCATAGTCATCAGGTCTGGGTTGACATAGGGAAAGACTCATTAATTATCGACACAATATTTCTAGAGAGGTAAGTTTTCATAATCACCGAAATCATTGCTTGTATAAACGATCACATAACCACAAGTCAGATCGAGGTTTGTCGCTTATTTTTTTTTTGTGGTGAGAGCATGAGTATCGAAGAATTTTCGTCCAATTTTCGTGATCGAAGTACGACAATGAATTGATAATATCTTTAGTCAGCTGCAGCCTGTAATATTTAGGTTTTCCCTAAAAGATATTATTTATAGAATGAAGTTAGCAAGGAATGAGCAACATGGATAAAATTGAAGCAGCTTATCAAATTATAAATGAGTGAGCTTCATTTTTGTTGAGTGGGGTAAATCAATCAGAGCCGCATGAGAAACTTCGGACGAAATGACTCAAATATTTTATTTGAAGTTATCTTTCTAAATTTTCAAGACGTACCTACCAAACACTTACCTCTCTGTCTCTCAGAGAATGTATGACAGCCATCGCCCAACTTGTGTCAGTTGAATGTCATAAATTGTTATGTCATATGATAAATTGTTATGATACGAGTAATTTTCACCGTTGATTAAGTATAGCGGTGTCAGCTATCATTACGCCCTTACACCTGTCACCCATTTTTAATATCACAAAATATTCACAGCTTTTTGCCATCTCGAACATGCAACTCATAGTTAAATACAGTTAAATTATACAGTTACAGTTAAATTCTAACTATATTTTATTATGTCATAAGCTGCTAACATTTTCGATTCTAGGAATTACCTGCAGGGAGTAAAGATAACCACCACTTTTCGACGCAATAATTGTTCTAAATTCAAGCCTGAGTATATATTAAGAATTCTGTGGTTTAAATGAGAACTGATTGCGCATCCAAGTCCAACTGCCAGTCATATTCTCGCAACCCTGTTTTTGTCGTTGTTGCCACAGTTTTCGAAAACGCGTCGGGTTTATAAGACGCTCTCGGCCCACTGGATGGGAGCATTTTAGGCCCAGGAGCGCTCGGGTAGAGTTCCAGTCGGCCGCTGGTTTTGGTAAGGCAAGGTGGTGGCGATTGAGCTCCTGTTTCTGATCAACACAGCACGCCGTCTTCTTGCAGCCGCACGAGCCCGTCGTGATGACATCTTCGTAGAGCATCGTTTGCTGGAAAAGTAATTGGTTTTATACCTCTGGTAATTATTAAATTTTTTAATAAGTGAACTCTGAACCTAAACTCGCTTAACTTCAGTGACGAAAAACTCCTAACCAAACTTTAGAAAAAAGTTGATTTTATATTTGCGAAAAATATCTGGGAACGTGTGCTCCAACATCCAGAAAAGATTTCAAGCTCGTTTTTACCGACTAGAAGTTACATGAATGTGTATAGATTTCACTTTTAGTTAAGTTTGATATTAAACTGAAGAAGGTCCCGATATTTACTCCAGAAATATCTTATGATTAAAAAAGCTCACAATATTTCATTAGGCACACGGAGGAAATTGTTTATGAAACACATAGTAGTATGGTATATGATTAGTAACTTTGACATGGAGTTCGTTTTTTGAGAGAAAATGTTTGCCGTTGAGCATCAGCTCTGCTCCCAACAGCCCTGCCAAGAAGCCCTACAAAGAAGATTGTATCGCAGGCACTGCGCTGCTGCTCACGAGAACGGAAGCGCCCGGCAAACTCGGCGCTAATTTTTCAAGTCCAAAGCTTCCTGCAAAAGCTAAGTGTACTATTGCGTTCAGAAACTTAGTGAAGGTTTATGTGTTGTGGATGATTGGCCAGCGATAGGCCGGCATTGATTCTACGCTACAATTTCACTCTCCAAATTTGTAAGGGTGGAAAGCTCGACGCATGTCGCTATTCAAATAGCTCCCTCAATGGATTTGCTCGATGTAAACAAACTAGTTTTGATATTCTAAATATAATGGTGAATCACAACACGAACTTTTTGCTTATCTGATCTGCATTGAAAATATTCCGACCGGATAACAAGAGTTAAATACTACTGAACATTACACGTTTCCTGGGCTACGAATAATCGAGACGAAGATCTATGTTCACAACTAAAGTTTGCTTAGTTTTAGTTGGCAACGCTGCTCAATAACATCTAAGCTCCAATCAAATTTCTCCAAACTTTGTCTGCGTGTAATTTTTTTCATCCTCGCTCACTTTAATGCCTTAACTGCACTGTAAATTTAACCGCTACCAAGTTACTGTCCCAAATTTTACAGTAAAATTTACGTTTTAAAGATTAACTTCGAGCTTAACTGGCCAACATTTTATGTCGCAGCTTCTGTCCAGTGACCAATGGGCTACGGTGTTGTACGCAGCATGGTTGTCTGAACAATTTATTCATAATTGAAACCTACTTCGACATGTGGTGTTTGGTGTTCACGAATGTCTTCCAGTAAAACGCAACGATGTTTCTCACCAACCCTTCTATTTTGTAAATCTGTATTTTATATGAGAAATATTGATGTGATGGTGCCTAGTACCTCCACGTAAAAAATTTCAAGACGACTGGTCAAAAACTATAGAAGCAGCTGAACTGCCGAAGATTCAGAAAAAAATCATGGTCTCAAGTAAAAATTAGCTGTCGTTACTGCCGAAATGGAACCAAAACCCTGTCCTAGAGAAACTATCAATATCTCACAAACCTCGTTTTCGTTGAAAGAAGCTCAAAGAAACAATTGATGCAATTGTGGACACCAGTTTAGATTCTAGCTCTACATCGGTTTACGTCACAATTGGGAAGGTCGCAATCCAAAATATGATCGATTCAGATTCAAGCAATCCAGGTCTGATTTTCAGTCGAATTCATGGAAACGAAAAAAGTTCACCTGCTGCTCCAACCAAGTCTGCATGAGAAGCTATCAAAGTCTTCGTTGGTACCAACCAGTCTGCGCGAAAAGCCATTAAGAAGTCTGCGCGAAAAGCCACGAAGAAGTCTGCACGAAGAGCCTCCAAGAAGTCTGCGCGAGGAGCTGGAAAAACGTCTACGCGCGGAGTCACCAAGAAGTCTGCGTGTGGAGCCACCAAGAAGTCTGCGACTCTGCGTGTGGAGTCACCAAAAAGTTTCCCTTAAGAACGTGGCTAACGAAAAAATTTGCAAGCATAACTCCATGTCTACGAGAAGCTTCGTACTGTCGCTGCTGGTGGTGGCGGTGATGGTGGCCAGTCACTGCTCTGCGCTGCCTGCTGTCATCCGTATAGGTGAGATATCATTATTTATTATATCTTACAAATATAATTCCTAATTATATCACATAAATATAATTGTTAATTATATAATAAAAAAGTATTCGTATTTTTATTATTTATTTATTAAATGGAGATTCTATTGCAAATTTTGTAATAGAGATACAACTGTTAGAATATTTAGCCAAAGAATGTATGGTCTCACAATATTGTTTACTCACGAATATTTATATGTTATTAATAAATGAATTCCGATGAAAAACTTTCCAAGATTATAAATGGCTCTGTTGAAATTTCTTCCTACGGTGTCAATGAATGCTTATGATAGAGTAGGTACCTATATTTTTTTATAATTTATGCGACAAATATTCGCGAACAATGAATATTTTGTTTATGTTTCTGCTACTCGCAATAAAAAACTACAAATAAATTTATTTTTAAATGCAACGATAATTGATAACGCTACGAGCAAAATGAAGCAAATTTTTTCATCGTACAATTGCATATTTAACGATGAAAATTTATTACTATTACAATTGAGTGCAAAATTATTCATCTATTCTTCATCCAAATTTGCTGTGGCAATTGTATTTTCTACGACGGCCGTATCTATAGGTCGTCGGATATAACAAATGTTAGAACTTATATCTAATATCTATTGGAACTTATAGTCTAAAAACCGCAATTGTTGATTTAACTTCTGATTACGATTTCTAGAGAACTTGGTAGTGGTTGTTTGGTGTGAAACTGAAGAAATTAGCAGAATTTTGTAATTGAAGTGATTATTCACTAATAATTGGATACATGTGTCTTGAATCGCTTTACCTTTTGGTTTTCGTAGCTGCAATGCGTTACAAAAACGCGTGTTTAGCCCGAGCTGTTGACCAACAAGCCTTAACATTCGTTAGGTTTTCTCTGCAATTCTCAGCAAAGTCTCGTTGGAACAGATGCAAATTAGGACCTGTTTCCCTGTGGCGACATCGGTCCCTTACTACCGTCACAAACTCACAAACTTCCTTCCTTCTACGACCTCACCGAAATAAGGAAAGAACAACTATAAAAAACTGTACAACAAACACGCTGATGGAATGGAGAAAACGGCAAACAAACTGCAGGAATCTATGAAAAAATGCAAACTTCAAGAATAAAATAAACGTGCAGAGATGTTGTATAAAGACAAACAGACAAACAACCGGAATAAAACACACAGGAAAGACATGGTAGAACTCAATCCAGATTAAATTACAGCATTTTTGTTCTGCTGCTCGCCGTCGTTTTGATCTGCAGAAAAGGTCGTAAAAAACTTCCAAGTGATGCGGACAAGATTTGAATCGAAGCAAAGAATTGGGCAGGAGTTTCCTCAAGTTTACGTTCGTTTCGAATTGTAATTTCCTGGTATAAAGTGCAAATTCGAAATGCGTGTGAACATGGACGTCATTTAGGAAAAACAAAATTATTTTCTTGTGTAGGTAATCTGGATGACTTCTTTTATTTCAACGAGCCTTACTTTGAATATTTTTGTAATGCTCATGTATAATACAATTTCAATTGTCGGAAAAAACTACGAATTAGAATAGTTTGCACGTTATGCTGCCTGTTATTTTCGGCAATTCATTTTGTTATAATCATTAGAAGAGGCCGTACTACCAAAACGTAACGGTCTAGGTAGACGTAGTGGCCTAACTACACGTAACGGCCTTAGTGGACATAGCGGCCTAGGTACATGTAGCGGCCTAAGTACAGGTAGCGTTTTAAGCACACTTAGTAGCCGAGTCCTTGTCTGTGTTGTTGGCTCTCCATTGAAAAGCCGTCAGCGATTAGCTGACTGAGTTACGAACGTATAACTATTTCCGATAGTTTGGTCCCAGGCTGTCCCACAATATACATGATCTATATCTTGCATTGCAACGGAAGATCTAATTTTCAACATACTGCTTTTACCTATTTAAGTAAAACTTTGAATCATGTTGCTTTCCGGATTGGGGAAGTATACAATTAAATCGTCTTCCTAACCTGATTGATAAATTAAACCAGTAAGTAAATGAGCACAGCTGGCATAAAGTTTGTCAAAACAAAGATGTCAAACTAGTACATACAATTTCCTGCCATTGTTACCAAGCCAGGCTACGATCTCCTGCTTCTGATACCAACTTCGCGACGGCAGACCGGATCACGAGAGCGATGGCAATTTCGGCCTCTGCAATAATTAGAGGCCGTTAATTGCGATCGTCGTGCCCAAGTTGTGACTTGTGAAGAGCTGCTTTAGTGTTGCTGTTGCATAGCAATGTGTCTGTTACACTGCTGTGTTGCTGTTGCATAGCAATGTGTCTGTTGCACTGCTGTGTTGCTGTTGCATAGCAATGTGTCTGTTACACTGCTGTGTTGCTGTTGCATAGCAATGTGTCTGTTACACTGCTGTGTTGCTGTTGCATAGCAATGTGTCTGTTACACTGCTGTGTTGCTGTTGCATAGCAATGTGTCTGTTACACTGCTGTGTTGCTGTTGCATAGCAATGTGTCTGTTACACTGCTGTGTTGCTGTTGCATAGCAATGTGTCTGTTACACTGCTGTGTTGCTGTTGCATAGCAATGTGTCTGTTACACTGCTGTGTTGCTGTTGCATAGCAATGTGTCTGTTACACTGCTGTGTTGCTGTTGCATAGCAATGTGTCTGTTACACTGCTGTGTTGCTGTTGCATAGCAATGTGTCTGTTACACTGCTGTGTTGCTGTTGCATAGCAATGTGTCTGTTACACTGCTGTGTTGCTGTTGCATAGCAATGTGTCTGTTACACTGCTGTGTTGCTGTTGCATNGCAGCAAAAACAAATACCGAACATTGCAAATATGAAAACAATTACTAAGTTCACAGCAATAACAGTAAATATCATATCATTCTTCACAAAAATAGAAACACTTAACAAACATCATAAGTACTTAATAATTTACACAACCCACTTGTAAAGTGTAGAGCCACCTTCTCCACGACGATGGAATAAGATTATATATGAGCTCGGGTATCTGCATATATACGTAAAATAGATGACCCTTCACGCTCGGTTACTTGTGCGAGTGCTAGCTTTATTCTGCAGGCCATTCTGACATCTCGGTCTCTATTTGCCCGGAAAACTTGTAGGAAGTTAGAGCGCAGCCCGCAATTCCTATGCTGCGCCATGGCTTCCGGATAGCTTGTAAATCTGCAAAGGGCATTCTGTTCCATCGGGCGTGGCTTGCAAGAGGGAGGGAGGAGAGTGCACTGTGAAAAATCAATGGGTTATACTGTCCAAAAAAGTAACTCATACCAACACACAGCATAAACAGTGTTATTAGTATGAACATAGAGTAGGCGTAGCACTGATACGACCTATAGCTGGGTCAGAATGGCTGACACATGAAGTGTATCGCTATTCGGACAAAGTCTACCTCATTTCTCTGGGTGTGAGCCAGTGGATGGTCATAAGAAATCTTAGTTTGGATGCAGGAAAGAGGATGTACGCTGGCAGAGTTTGTCCAAGGAGTTGGTGTTTATGTAGGCCGTCTGTGTTTCCTGGAGGGACAGACAATAAAAACTAGGCCTATTATGATTTACGGTCAGTTTATATAGGATCAGGCTAGTTGTATGGATAGGCTATGCCATTTGGATAGGCTAGTTGTATGGGCTAGTTTCATAGGCTATTTGTATAGGTTACTTGTTTTGGTTAATTGTGGCCTGTAGCAGACTGTAGATCAGCAGAATCTGAGATATCTTCATTGGTTAAGTCTTTAGGATCCCAATGTTTACCCGTGGTCTACCGTATGCAAGAGACCATGCATGATCCACCGTATGCAACTGTCCCTGAATGGTCTACCGTATGCAACAGACCCTGGATGATCCACCGTATGCAACTGTCCCTGAATGGTCTACCGTATGCAAGAGACCATGCATGAACAGACCCTGAATGGTCTACTCGAGCGCGCTGCAGAATAGCCCAGACGGTCTTCCAAAACTTCCAATAGTTTTTGCCTATCTGGCGCCGGGCCGCGGACTTCTTTTGTGCCGCCTCAGCCTCCTCAAAGTGCAAGCTAACGGTTGCTTTGTGAGGCCTAATGCCTCAANTGCCACTAATGGCAGAAGGCATGTCAATTAAGGTCGACGTCAAAGGACAATTTCCGTCGCCGACAGCCTTATTGACAGCCGCGCTCCCGCGCCACTGCATTAGGCGCCACCCTTAGAGGGGGAGCCGTTATGGGGGGTTTAATCATCGTTTAATCATCGTTTAATCATCGTTTAATCATCGTTAAATCATCGTTTAATTATCGTTTAATCATCGTTTAATCATCGTTTAATTATCGTTAAATCATCGTTTAATTATCGTTAAATCATCGTTTAAACATCGTTTAATCATCGTTTAATTATCGTTTAATCATCGTTTAATCATCGTTTAATCATCGTTTAATTATCGTTTAATCATCGTTTAATCATTGTTTAATGATTGTTTAATCATCGTTTAATCATCGTTTAATCATCGTTTAATCATTGTTTAATTATCGTTTAATTCATCACTTAATCATCGTTTTATCATCGTTTAATCATCGTCTAATTATCGTTAAATCATCGTTTAATCATCGTTTAATCATCGTTTAATTATCGTTAAATCATTAAGTTGATATAGCTTGATTGGCTACACGTTGAAGCTTTAAAGCCTGATATTAACCGCAAATTTCTTTGTTCAAAAATGGTATTAACCAATAATTTCCTATTTATATTCTGGTATTAGCCGTTAATTTCCTCGTTATAATCTGGTATTAATCAGTAATTTTCTCGTTATAATCTGGTATTAACCAGTACTTTCCTCGTTATAATCTGGTATTAACCAGTAATTTCCTCGTTGTAATCTGGTATTAATCAGTAATTTTCTCGTTATAATCTGGTATTAACCAGTAATTTCCTCGTTATAATCTGGTATTAATCAGTAATTTCCTCGTTATAATCTGGTATTAGCCCTTAATTTCCTCGTTATAATCTGGTATTATCCAGT